TAGTGACTCATATTTTACCGTAAACTATAACTTCTTTCTTTTTCTGCTCATGCTGTATTTTTTCCCCAAATGCAATTCTTTCTGAGAATAACACGTTCCTCCAAAATCCCTTAAATGAAGTAACAAATCATTCTTTGCTGATAGTCTGACCCAGGTGCGACGTCTTATCTGTTGCCATTAAATAGTTGTTTGGCTTTGACATGATAAATCACCAGTTTGTGTTAAATAGACTTGGTTTTAAGTTGGGATTCAGCTTCCCTAGAAAAGGCAGGGATGCATTGTCTTTCTTCCTACCACTCTTTTGTTACACTATTTAAGATTATAATGATATATGCTTTTTCTCCCTTTGCTATTCCAAAGCACTAAGGTCTTGGCCATGTGTCTTTCCCCTGTATGCTTGATTTTATTGGGTAAGATTGAGAGGAACATAACCTTGGATGAGATTGTTGTGAAAAAACAAAAACAACCTTCCCCAACACCCCAAAAAAGAAAACCCTTATAGTTTTATTGTTCTATCAAGGATTTATTGTCAAATTCCACTTCAGTGATTCCAGACATCATGATTAAAAAGTGGATGTGGGCTCAGAAAAATGTCCCGTTGTTATTTTGAGTCAATTGCTAACACAAAATGTTCTCTGATAAGAATACCAAGAGGACTCCCTGAAGGAGTGGTGCTGGGATCTCTGTTACAGCATTGTGGCTCTGAGGACATTCCTGCACAGCAGATGAATCTCATCCTACCAGCCCAGAGAGTAAGCAGGGCTCATTTCCTAGTGTGCTGTATTATGACTGAGCAAAAAGGTCAATGAATCAATGAATAATCAATACACTCTCATGGAATATTACACTACTGCTCTTTCCTGACTGACCACTGTTTCTATTGATTTTAACAAGTTCAGTACCGTAGGGTGGGATTCATTCACTCCAGCTTCACCTATCTGCAATGCCAATGACTCATCTAACCTCTTTGGACATCTCTTTTAGAATCAGATGACTCAAATCCTAGATGTGCTTATTTCTTTTCATTGATTATAAGGTAGCTCAGATATGTCAGGGGGGTTGGACTAGATGATTTTTAAAGGTCCCTTCCAAGCCAAACCATTCTGTGATTCTATGATACGAACTCTGTAGAGTTTTGCATGTGGACAGATGAATTCCATCCAGACAGATTTCTCTTAGTGTTATGCTTGGTATTTTGCCATTTCTATTGAAAAATGGAGGAGAAAAGTTCAGGATGCTGCAGAACATGACAAGTAAATAAGTTTTGCAACATCAAAGGCAATGGGCATGTTGTAGAGGCAAACCCACTTCAGTGGCAAATTGGTAATATTCTGAATGGCTTTGTTGATTCAATCCCATTTAAACAGTCATGGTAGCATATTATCATAGTACTTCAGTTTTATTCCTTAGAACTTTAGGAAATAAAGACAAATTGCCTAAATAAACAGAGAAACTATTCACCTTAGCTCCAGATGAAACTCCTGTGTCAAAGTTCCTCACTGAACACATTTTGCTGTTGATTTTAATGGCACCACAGTTTTAACAAAATGTCTAATGTATTATACATCATTATTTTGATGCAAGAGGATGATATTTTGAGGGCTATATCCCAAACCAGCTGTAGACAACCAAAATTTACATGTGTTAACACCTTGCTTTTATACATCTGTCTCCCCCAGAGTCGCATACAGGACCAGATTGGTGTCTAAGCCAGCGTACATTGTGCCAACCTCACTCATCATAAATCTACAGCAATAATAGTCAAGTTTACAGCTGCCTGAAACTAACTATTTCTGGCAGCAAGGGTGAGCTGTAATTTCCCCTTCAAGTCCATCCATTAGGCATCCACAGCTCTGAGCCCCCTCTCTATGGAAGACCTTACGGTCCTTTGTTCAAAGAGGAGAACATTCTTTCCCTTGGGAAGGCAGAGAAGGAAGAGGAATATGCAATTCTCTCGGTGTTTTGCCCTCCTACTCCCTATTTTTTCTGTAGTGATAATTCATGAGTTCAGCTGCCATGCCATGATCTGGTTGATTCAGGCTCAGCTCCCAGGATTTCAAATCACCGGTAAGATGTGCACAGAAAAAAACAGTCTGGGCAGGAGGAGGAACCAGAAGCCAGCATTTCTCCTTCTAGTGAGTACAGCTGGGTTATGGAGTCATGCTTTTTCTCTGATCCAACAAAATTTGAATTCTTCTGGCACAATTTCTGAGGTTCAGTGCCAGAACTGTCTGGTAGCTAAATGACTTTAGTAGGAGACACACAAATTTCTGAAAGCAGCTCTCACTGCTTGGCCTAATAGTCTGAGCGCTAGGGAAAGGGTGGGGGACAGGACAAACTTTTCCTCTGGATATGTTGTTGCAGATGAGGTTTACCTGAACCCAATCCTGTCAGTATAAGGCATGGGAAGAGGTCTCTGCTCAAGAAAAACTTTTAATGTATTTATAAACAACAGTTGCATGGCTCTGTCAAGATGGGAGCTTTTAATGTATTTATAAGCAACAGTTGCATGGCTCTGTCAAGACGGGAGCAGTCTGGGTACGCTTTGAGACAGTCATGAGCACTTGAGGGAAGTAGAAGAGCATGGTAAGTGTTTTTTTCTTAAGAGCAGCTGTCTGAAGGTGTTCAAAGGTGCTCCTAAAGATGAAGATGGGGGCCCAGACGGACTGGTGAAAACAGCTAGCCCCTAGCGCACGGCACTGAGGACTTTGGCACCTCAGCAGATCCCTGTGGGCATCATTAGACGTCTTCATACCTTAAAAAAAACCTGCTCCCTAATGCCATTTACTTTCTGTCAGAGAGCCAGCTCTGCCAGCAGCTCTCTAGAGGCCGGGCCCACGTGGGCTCCCCTGGAGTGGCGGGGCAGGGCCTGGTGCCAGGACACATCCCACCACCCCAGCCAGGCGCAGGGCAGCCGGGGGCACTGGGCAGCCTTAGCCCCTGGCACTGGGCACCTCCCTGCGCATGGGGACGGGCTGAGGCCAGGCCAGGACATGGGTCCATGGGTGGGCCCAGCTCGGTGGGACCCCATGGCCAAGCAGGGCAGGGCTGTGGGGAGCTGGAGACTGGCCCTGCTGTGGCATTGCTGGGGCAGAGGCTGACAGACCCAAGGGGTCCTAGGCTGGGTGGGGGGGCCCTGGGGACCTGGGCAGGGATAGTCAGGGCTGTCAGAGCCTCAAGGCCCGGACACTTGCAAGCACTGGTCAATCCAAAGGCAGGTAGGCTTCATATTGCTGCTGCTGCGTTGGCAGCCATGCCCTCTGCTGTCCACCCGCTGCTGAGGACCCCGCTGCTCGTCTTAGCCGCTCTGGGTGAAGTCTCACCTGCATGACTTCTGTGTATGTCTTGCCTCCACATGGGCTTGGGTTTCACCCTTGATGCATATTTGCAAAACACGTGCCACTAAATCCAACTCCTGTATGCAATCTAAGCATCATTTGGGCCTGAGAGTGACCATCTCGGCTGTCAGGATATTGACTTAAAAGTCCCTGAAGGGAAATGCGGCTTTCCTAGTTGGATGAAAGTTATTCCCTGTGCTTCTCACAAGTAACAAACCCCTGACTGTATATACCATATCGAGTGTCGAACTGAACCGCGACACTCGTAATGAAAACACTCTGCCTGGGGGCATGTGATTCCCTGGAGCAGCCAGCCACTGCAAGATCGTTTGCAGCTGTTTATGATGCCTCTGCTAGTGGATGGCATAACACCCATGTGGACAGACTGCATGGTGAGCTCGGAATCTCAACATGACTTAAATGCTATCTTCAGACAAAATAAACTCCTCAGAAACATTAACAAAGATATTTATTGCAAATAAAAATTCACATTCACATCATTAAATCTTATGAAGTATAAGGAGGTCATTTTGCAAATTGTGAAGCATCCGTGTGCGCTTGGGCTGCCGTTTTCATCAGAACAGCTGTGTGGGACACGCGTAGATTTATCTGGATGTGCCAAGCCAAATATCCCTCTATCTACAAAGGTTTTGATTTGGCTGGTGACATCGTTCTGACACTTCCACAGTTTCATTTTCTCTGGATCTGGCAGTAGAGGCTCATAGAAAACCCCAAACCGAGTATCTGGAAAACAAAGACATTTCTGGTATTACTTGGCAGTCCTGGAAATCCCAGGATACAACTGATACACAGTGGGAACATTTTGTTTGCAAATGTCTTGGATTTACATGTAGGCTAAATTTGCTATGCAGAAGATCTTTTCCAATGCAATTCTTAAAGAACATGACTCTAGAATATAGCCATTTTAATGAAATCAATATGTAACACAGGTAAGACTGCAGACATGATGGAAAACTTTCATTTGTTTAAAAGATGGATTGCCTCTGTGGATGGGGAATCCTGTAGCTCTGGGGATTTAAAATGCAGTTGTTAGCTGCAATGGAGCAGCAAATACTGAGAAGTTCAAGAAATGTGGACAAAAATTCAGTCTTTTATTTTCTAAGAAAGTTGGAGGAACTTTCTGATTCCACTGCATATTCTATGGGTTATTTCCCTTTGAAATCTCTCTTCTTTTCCACTGTCACTCTTTTATGTAAATATATGTATAAAGGCATACATGTGTATATGTATATAGTCATACATCTATACACATACTCTACCGTTTTGAGAGGCAAACAATCATGCAACTAATATTTTATATTCATCAGTAATAGATTTGGGATAGAAACACTGAGACCATTAAAGAAGCTATTGCTTGAAATATAACATTCAGTAGGGTCACCTTCTGTAGTGGGAATTACTGGGTGAAATTCCACAACCTGTGACAGAAGGTCAGAGAGCTTCTGTCTGGGTTTAAAATTAACCAGTCTGTGAAGGTGTTTCACAAAAGTGGAAGGTATCCAAATGACATTTGTGAAGCCAGGAACATCAGGATGTTTCATTTATTTGAAGAAGAGACAGTGATGACTGTACAGAACACAGGGGTACAGCTAAAATGAGGGGATGAACTCACATCTGGAATAAACCAACAGGGCTTCCCTGACATACCATGCCCGTGTTTTCGCTTGTGCCCAAGTGAAACTGGGCTCTTCTTCTTAGTATCATTTCCAGCTCACCATTAACAGCCTACAAGTGGCATAATGGAGCAGGCAGAGAGGGCAACGCTAGGGAAGAGCACTTTTCCTTGTCAGCTTCTTTTTATCTGGGGTTTTCCAGAGCAGAGAGATAGTTAAACATGTGACCTTTGATTTGCAATTACTTGAGAAGTCATAATACGTTAATGTCTTTGGAAAGGCTAAATGTTTAGCAAGTGTGACTTGCCAGCTGACAATATGTACCAGCTGAGGCTCATACTGTTTATTCATGTTGTTTTCCAATCCTTTTATGATTGGGAGAGGCAGCCACCACAGAAAATGCCAACTGGAGAACAGGGAAGAATGATGGCCAATGAACTAAGTGCTACAACTCATGTAACTGCAGTAACTAGAGCAAAGTGACTTATAACTTACCTTCAGGCTACAGATGCAATTTTACATTTCTATTATATTTTTAAAGGCCTTTTAATATTGGTCTATTTCACCTATTTTCCCCCAAAGTCTACATGTAGGTGAGAGACCTCACCCCCCACATATAGCATCTTAAATAACATGAAGCCTGTACCGAGTAAGAACTTAGTGGCCTGTCCTCTCCCAGTGCTGCAGCTGCGTAACTCTTCCCCGCTTACTATTATTTTCCTGGAAATGTATTTTTGAGCTGGGGCTCTTGCCCACTCTTCTACCACGAGGAGCAATCCTCTGCCAAAGATGTTAAGAAGTTTTCACTCAATAACAGACTGAACTCTGCACAGCAATCTTCGTCATTTCTGCTTTTCCCTCAAACATCCATGGGCGGAGGGCGAGGGAGGAGGGAAACCACAGAAGAATAGGGAAAAGAAAAAAAATGACCGAAGAAAGCAACATGATGAAATCCCCTGTTTCTTTGTCATTTTCTCCTAATCAAAGCCTATCATTCATCAAGTAGCTGACTGGATAACCTCACTGTTTTTCCTCCTCTCTTTGGAGAAAAATTTGCATGTTATTCTTCACTGTATGATGAAGCAATTAAAATAAAGAGCTCACATACTCTGCTTTTTTTTACACACAGGAATATATGGAGCAGCACAGGTGCACACTCAGGCACATTAACGCACCATCTTGATGGCTAAATTTTGCTCTTGGAATAATAATTTTGTATCATAATTTCTCCGTGATAAGAATATGCAGTTTAGGGGATAAAGTTTTCTTATGAGATGACTTTTTCCTCAAGCAAAGGAAGGAAAGAGGAGGAAAAGACCAGCTGATCTGCCTCGTGTCTTCCTGGGGCTTGGTATCCACACACCCCTCTGTCCACGGGGCTCGCTGTCAAGGCACAGCCTGTTTCGAGGACTGTCAAATCTTTGCAGAAAAAGTGCCATGTGGTACACTTATACAGGCAGCAGGGTGGTCTGACCCCACCTGAAGTTCTCAGCTTGGCCGCCGTATACTGTTTATATGAAATAACAGTAAGATTATAGCTAAGGTGAGAGGTGGTTTTCCCTTGTCAATTAATTGAGCAAACCAGGTGTTTTAATCCCATTCCCAGTATATTTCTAAGTAGAACATATTGCTTGTCAGCTACTAAATATTTTAATGGTGTATACTGGTACCTCAATAACGGCCAGTCCAAAGGCAATCCCCATAATTATGAGCAGATGGTCTTTAAGGTATTTGACAATCACATTTCCACAAGGCTGAAAAATAAGACAAAATGATTAATTCTAGGTAAGCAATGTTATCTTAAGGTTAATAGGAATGCATCCTCTAAAATAACTCCTCTCATGCTCTCTCTCTTTCTCTCTGCGTTAAAGAAAGGTTATTTGAATTTACTCTGGCTTGTTGCTAACAAACACAAAGAACATAGCTATAGACAGATCAATTTAGTAGCTGACCATAAAAAAGTGCAATTTCAAAGGAAGATGTACAGCTGTAATGCCTAATGTTTGCATGGTTTTCAGTTGACAAGGAAAGAAGCATTTATTCTTACTTTCACTTGATAACTATTCACTGCTAGGAAAGAGCCAATGCAGCAATGACCAGATCTGAAAAAGAACTTCAGTTTCCCACTAATCTGATCTTTGGATTTGGAACTTCAAAGCCCATTATTAGAATCTGGCTCAACTATCACTATTTGGATATAAAACCTATCTTAAATATTAATTTTGACAAATGTTTGGTGGTCTTGGGCTGGGACTGGGAGGAAGAGAGTGATCATATCTGAAGTTCTATGCAGAACTACTCTCCTTTTTAATAAATGCATACATCTGTTCTTATAATGACCGCATCTTCTCCAGGCATTGACAATACTCCTTTTGCAAACTGTAGAGAAAGCCAAGTACGGCTTAAATCCATCAAAACTACAGTACTGTTCCAACACTACAACTGCCTTCCCCCCAGATATAGTTATATTCTTTCACCATATTTCCTCCCTCACAATAAACACGTGGGTCTTCTCCTTCTAGTCCTTCTGAAAAACTTCTCATTTAAGCTGACTCAGAACTGCACTGAATTTCAAACCTTTTTTCCTGGATCACAAGAGTTGAATGTCTTTACTAGCATCTAACACCACCATGAAATCTGTGTGTTCATGTGAGCGATATCTTGCACCTGCAGTAATTTCACTGATGGCTTCTCATGTGTCCTTTGAGGGTTTGCCTGAGGCCAAAAAGATGTTAAAATGTGGTCAAAACAGCCTCTTTGTATACATCTTATTTCCAGATTGGGTTCTGGCATCCTCCACTTAACCAGACTGTTCCCTTGCTTTAAAACAGTATTTGCTTCTGTGGGACTACACAGAGAGGAAATTAGTGTTCAAGCAGGACCTGGCTAAGGAGCTGCTCATTTAGAAAAGCATACAAACAGATTGGACATTTGCTAAAATCTGCTTTGTGCTAAGGGCAGATTGTCAAACTTAGTACCACCAGCATCCTGAAAATGCAGCTATTTTGTGCTAGTTTTTCACTTTTTTCCCCCATATTTTTTTTTTGTATGCATGGAGTTCAAATTTCCATATAAGGAGACAGATAAATCTTGAAATTAATTAATTGAGATCTCTGCTGCCCACGTGCCAATTTTTGAGTATGCTTTCTTGTTACCTGTCACCGGACATTTTTGCCTTATTATTATATTAACTGCCACAAACTTTTGAAAAGTTGTAGGAAACTACACTTTGAGTACGCTGCCATGAAGGCTACAACATGTAAGGTTTCTTTCTAGCAGATCCTGCAAAATGACTGGGTTTTTTTGTTTTGTTTTTGTTTTTTATTAAAGGACTATAAAACCCCAAAGGTCTTGCAGTTAATATGTTTTGTTTGTTTTTCAATATCCCTTAGCCCTTGGAAAACCTCTGAGTCAACATGTCTACGACCAGAATGAGCCTGGGTGTGAACTTCTGAGGGAGGAATGAGAGCCACAGGGAAGCTGATGTGCTCCTCTGACCCAGAGGCATACCCTGACCCCAACCATAATAATTTTCACCCACAGTAACCATGCAGACTGCTGAGGTCCTAAGGGTGCTGCACGGCACAGCTAAAATAGAGGCATCCCAGGAAGAGGAAGCAGCAGCGTATTTAATCTATGCACAGTAATTTCATAACAGATGGCATAGGGGCAAACCTGGATAATGAAGAGAAGAAAAAAACCTTGCCTTTTTGGAAAGATGCAGAACTGCTGACTATGTCAGTCACCAAAGACAACCTTGGGTTAAAACCTCTTTATGGAAAGAAGAGTGGAACATTATATTTTTCTTACCGTTTTATAAACATATCTGTCTTGAAAGACGGTGCAGATGTCTGTTGATGAGTCGTTTGATTCACACTCACAGATTTTATTACTAGCAAAATTTTTTCCCCAGTCTTCAGGTCCATGCAGCAAACCGCAGCACTTGTTCTGCAAGAAAGGAGGAAATGGGCAGATGAGGAAAACAGTGGTGATTTGCAGTTCAAGGGGAGTAGACGAGGGAGCTGAGAGGAACAAGAGAGAAATTTCCTTTCATCTTTTCCTATGTGGAAGTTGTCCCAAATTGGTATGTCTCAAACACCCTTTACATTTCCACATTTCCTTACCAGTTATAAGAATATAAGTGCACAAGTTAAAAGAAAAAAAAAAAAAAAGAAAAGGAAAAAAGACCACATTTTCAGTATTCAGTGCTCAAAAAAAATTAACATGCTATAAAGCTAGTAATTGTCAGTGCCAAATGGAACTGGAACATAGAACAATGCTGAATATAGTATTTTTTGAGAACCAAGTCTTATTTCTGTAAGTTATACTTGCAAAAGGTAAGTAACAGCTCCAGTAGCATCCACATTTCACATCTTGAAAAGCCAGGCTGAAAATGTAAAATTCAGGCACATAAAACTCTGAAATCTAGAAAAATAAACACCTTAAATGATGTTTAGCCCTTTAAATTAGAAATGGACTGAGCAGGCCAGGGCTTCTTTTGGGGTTTGTGAAACCTAAACCAGGTGCAGTTCCATTTCATGTTCCACTTTATTCAAGCCACTAGAGCTCAGGGGTGCAGACTTGGGTTTGAGGTCCTCCCTTTTCTAAAAAGCAGCTGGAAATGTTCACATAATTCTATATAAAAGCAAAGGCTGTGAGACATAATAAAGCAATTCTGGTCTATTTAAAAATTAATACAGTAATTATGGGATTTTTCATTTTGCTCATCCTTCAATCATCTCTCCAGGGAGCTGCTTATTATAGCAGAAGAAATAAGCTGGCTCAGAAGCAGAGGGCAGGGCTGGAGGTGGAATGGGGAAGGAGAAGTGGAAGTAGTATAAGCCACCCAAATACTGTTTCTTGCTTCCTTTTCTTTTGCACCAGCAGCCTTTAAAAATATAGGAATTCTTTAAGCCTACTCATCAAAGTCATCACCCATTAGGGACTAAAAAAAAACCAAAACCCAACAGCAGGCACTCTGTGAGCACACAGCAGGTACTAGTGGAGGGGCAGGGGTCTACACCATCATTGATATTAGTGAGATTCAAGGGTATTCCCTGTGTGATACCTTGGAGCAAGCTGGCACTAAGTGTCCTCCTTCTGGGGTCCTGCTGGTGGGGGAAGCCAGGGTAAGTATAAGCACAAACCTTCCTTTAATCATATTTCTTCCTCCTTCTTACACAGTAAAGTATGGCATTTAATGACTTCATAGCAATGGGATATTCCAAATGAAATACACTTCTGAAGTTTTCCTTATCCCTGGGGTAACCTTGCCTTAAGAGTACTCGATAGTTCTTAGCTGGGATACAGTGAAGGAGCAATGTCCCTTCAGAAGGGAAAGCTGTAACAAAGGAGCAGGCAGCCTTCTCATGAACGAGCTTAGCTAACTGTCAGTCTCACTTGCACGCTGTGCATCCTTGCTCCATTGCTCTTATAAACACGATTGCACAAAGAAGTCATCACAGAAAGCCCGTGTCACACCAAGACGGCAGAAGCCCCTTGTGTAGTGTTTTAACCTGCATTTAAGTCTGACCCTTCCCCATCCTCAGGGAATGAAATTCAAATCTATGGCAGAGTAGCCATAAAACGAAACACAAAGTGATGGAACAGAGAGCAACAATCCCTGCCCTTTGTTACATTTTAATTACCGTTCTCTCAAACTTCTGGAATTTCTCTTGAAATGCTTTAGATTCTTCTGTAGAGCTTTGCAATGAACCCACACTTGCCAGGAGAGTCTTGTTCAGAGATGTTTCAATCTGCAAGTCCAAATATTTTATTAATTTTCGAGGTAGAAACAAAACTCTGGGAAAACATCAATGAAAATGCAGAATAATACTGTACCTGAGATCTGTACACTGCTCCTAAAATACCTCCTGTGACCTGAAGGATCAGGATCAGAAGCAGTCCAATAAAAAACTAGGAAGAAAATAAAAGGAGGAGAAAGCTATAGTACTTTTGACCAAGATGATATAATTTCTTCTATGTGAATGTTAAGCTTTCATGTGCTTGAATAACCATGTAGGTAGAATGAACTGAAGTTCCAGTTATTCCTTCTCTGGCAATGTGAAAAAGGGGTGCTTGAGACAGAGCGTGTTCAGCTGGTGACCAAAACAAAGTCCATGCCAGAGTGGTGGCATGATAGGCAGTGTGTAGGTGTTGGGCAGGAGGACAGGAAGGACATTCTAGGAGGACCAGCAAAGGGAACAACTGGGAATTTATGATATTAAATGGGATAGGTAGTGGGGGAGGACTGGTGGCGGGAACTTAGGTGATGGTTGGATGGAAAAAAAAATAGTGACATGCTCGGATCCTGTCTTCTTGTTGATGAGATCACCCATCATTTTTTCTACATTAGAATTCAGAAGGGGCTCAAGCACAAGGTAAGCAATGAAAACACATTATCATAATCAAGCATTTGGTTAAACAAAAAAGCCCTCATCCTCATTTGAAACTGCTTGCAAAAGCCTTATCCATCAAATGTAGCTGTGTGTAATGGTAGCCAAATGTTTTTCTTTCCTACCAACAGCAGCATGCACCGGCTCTCCTTTATGGCACCACAGCACCCCAGAAACCCAAGGACCATAATAACGGAGCCCACGGCTATCAGCAGATCAACCCCTGCAAACAGGCTGCTGTCTATCTCCAACTCCTGAAAAGAGACAGGAAAAATATCTTTCAGCTACAAGAAACTCCTCCTAAAACCATCTGTATCCACCCCAAACAAGATAATTACTTCATAACTGATAAATATACTGATTAGCAACCATGGAGAAATTCTGATCCATAAATAAACAAACCTCTAATGCCCCCTTCTTGAACGTTTTCTTGGGGAGCTAGGTGGAACCTGACTTTTCGCAGTCTGTCTCTGCAGATGAAACTCAACTTTACAGAGTAAATAAAGATCTCTTGTCTTTAAAGTGGCTTTCAGTTAGTTTTCAGTTGATGAATCTTTGCTTTTTACTGGAAGTAGCAAAATTGATTATCTCAAAATCTTTCCTACATTAACCAAATGTTAAAGAAACAAAACCTCTGTTCATCATTAGAAGGCCTGGAACATATTCTGTGGCTGTTCCTGAGAGAACACTTCTCCAAGTGATGCTGGATATACTAGAGAAATAGTTAGATGCGTTTTCCAAAGCAGCTTTCTTTTTCTTTTTTTTTTAGATGTGATCTCTAATATTACCCTCAGAGATGAGGACTGTATTTTGATGTGTGGGACATTCAACTAAACAATTCTTATACCTCAATATTATTAAATATCAAATTATTCAGTTCCCACAGGACTGACTAAGGCCAAAGGCCAGAATAGAGAAAAATGTTCAAAGAATATTTTCCAGTGTGGCTAGTGCCAAGATTAGCAAAAATGTCTGGAAGTTGTCACATTTATCTTCTGATGGAAATTGCAAAGGTATATAGACAAGTATAATTTGAAGAATGTGTTGTTCTTTCCCCTTCCAAGTTGGACTGAACCTCCTGTTATTTATTCTTAGAAAGCTCTATTCATCTACAGCCAAATCCTTATGGTCTGTTCAATTATTACTCAGGCAAAACATACACTGGTTTTGAATGGGAACTTTGCCTGCCTAGAGGCAAAAATGTGAAAAAATGCTTTCAATTTTGGTCCCTACTCTTAATTCACAGTTTTCAGGGAGCACTAAGTGTCACTTCAGGAAACCAGTTTGGGACACACTTAAGTATGCTTTTCTGAATAGGAAATGTCTCAAAAAATAAGAAAAGATAATAGTGGTTATGGTTTTCCAAGTTCCATTCTACCATCTGAGCCATCATACTAGAGATGGTCAACTAACAAGTATGGCAATTTTAGCTTCTTGTAAAATGTTGATTGAGGAGTGAAAGTTGTTGTTCTTCCTCTTCCACAGCAGAGAATGGCAGAGCTCTCCACCATGACCTAATTTACCCCATGGCACTTGGTCATCATGAACCAAGTTCTGCTGTATCCACCCTCTGCCAGACATGAGACATCTGGGACTGGCTAAGAAAGAGCAACAGTGTCATCAGTCAAATGGCAGGAAATATATAAAGCTATCTTCTTATCTCCACCTTAAAAATTGTTCTTAACTGATGGACTGTGGTAGAGCAGCAGAGGAGTGATCTGAAGATTTGCAACTTAATGTATATTAAAGGCTCAGTCTGAAAGCTGAAAAAAAATTCTTCCATGTCACACCTGGCCATTTTTTTCACTTCTATGGCCAGAAAGCCTTTTTGGAAGTAGAAGTATGTCAATTAAATTTTCAAATTCATTTTGGGCCATATTTTTATGGCCCAAATTCACTAGAAGAAATATGCTGATTAAACCTTAGAGTCAGATTGTCCTTCCTGTTAGTATAACAAAGCACTAACATACAAAGATTGCACAGTGCCTTTCAGAGAAGCACCTATGAGCTGTGAAATCAGCTTTGCCCAAGGGTGGCAGAAAACATGCTGCGAGTCAGAGGCCAGTGCCATGGGATCACACTTGGCAAAAGGCTGGCGGTGCCCACAGGACCAAAAGGCCTTTGCACTGACAGGACCAGCCTTTGCTGCATGTCTGCAAGATGAAGGGCTCCTCAAAATTGTATTTTCCCTAGCTTTGCACAAAAGGAAAGTCATAAAGTCTGAAGTAATTTAATAACACAGATAAAATCCAGGAGGGGAACTCAGGAACTTTTTTTCTCCCCTCCAGGAGGGCTGTTAGGACATTTTAATCCTAAATAAAGATTTTTGGGTCTCTCAAATTCTTTCTGTAGAAATATGAGGGGAAAAGGATAAGGTGTTTTTAAGGAGTCACTGAAAAGAGAAGGGAAAAATCCTTGTTCCCTTTCAAAGTTGCAGTTACTGGGGAAATAAGAATTGTGTTATTGAAGACAGTGAGAAAGGTAAAAGTATTCCCCACAAACATGTGGAAGTAACCCTAGGAATATGTATGACTATACTATTATAATAGGGAGAGACATTGAAAAGTCTAGGAGCTGCTTGGCTCCTCATTATTCTCTTCAACACTGAAATCAATAACAAAAGGATCATTAGTTTTCATTAGAGGAGAGAGAGACAAATGTTTTCCAACAGAAATCAGTTTGCATCTGCAAGAAACTACATTAACAACACTAGCGAACACTTCCTGTAGTCACATGTCTGTGCTTACATCAATCACTTTATCTGATTACCTGCACAATCTTGTTTAAATGTCATAAAATGTATTAATCTTTACCTACACAAACCACCTCAACAAAAATATAAGAAATTTGTGGAAATTAAGATGGGAAATTAAAGTGTATGCAGAAGCTTCCACATTTTACATGGTTCTGGAATGGCTGCACACATTTACCTGCTGAGCACCTTTACTAACACGTATCCATATAGAAACTCCCAAAATAATGGAACCACACACCTGCAGGAAAAAATAAAGAATATTTAGGAAGATCAGCAATTCTAGATTAACATTCAACATCCAAATTGCACCAGATGCTGGCCAAAATTCTGAAATAATTTGTTTGGCAAAGTGAAAGAAACATGAATTGCTGGAGCATAGAATATTGATTCACATCCAGGAAACTTCATAAAAGTAGTTAAATCTTCAGTTATGCACCAAATCCCTGATGTTTCTACCTCAGAGGACTCTGCATTTCCTTGATGATTTATACATGTGGTTGGGAAGCACACAGAAATTCTGTCAGATGAGAAAGGAATATAAATGTCTATAGTATGTACATAACATGGCTGTAAAGAACATTGTTTCTGGTATAATGGAAACACATGAGATTTGATAGGAAGGGACGTTTGTATAAATGTTGTTTCTAGAATTATTCAGGACATGTATCTAGAGACATATTCTCTATGATAAAACCATCAGGAAAAGTTCTAAATGAACATTGTTTCTATTGTAACAATATCTGACCATCTCCGATCCTTAGAATATTCCTCCTATAAAATGCCTATAGTAGTCATTTCCATTACATTTCTACAGAAAACCACCATACTCAATCATGGACATGTGAAACTTAGACCAGAATGACTTACTTTAAGATGCTGAAGCCAGGGCAGATTAGTCCCAGGTCCAGAAAAATTCCCTAATCACTAGTTCTGCTCCTGTTCCATTGATTGTTGAGGTACTGTTCCGCTATGCACCAGTCACTCCAGTCCTAACCTTTCTAATCATAAAGTGTTGGAGACAGGTAATTAAGAGGCTAATCAGGTGTAAGGATTGTGCCTACTGAGATTACTGGTAGGAAAGAAAGATCACTGAGGACCAGAGACTAGTCAGAATTAGAATTATCTTCCTGTATGTCATTAATACTCAAGTCATAAATGGCCTTGAAATTTTGTTATGAGCTTCCCGTGCAGACTGGGACTATTCCTAACCTTTTAAAATTAAAAGAGCTATTTTTATATGTTTTAGATAATTTTTCTTAAAAAATACTTTCCCCGCAAAAGGTTTCATATAATATTCAGCATCAAAGACCGTAACGACTTTAGCAGATTATTTAATATGGAACAGAGCCAGCACTCAGACATGAGTACCACACATTTTCCTGCTATAAGTAAAGCTCCTATAAGTACATTTTAAACATGAAAAGGAAAGTTATACAATCGATGACAGCTACATCATGTTATCAAATTTAACTAGAACTCCCCACTGAAACCTGAATCCCACTGAATCTGCCTAGAAAGTGATGGTATCACATGAGTCTATATTTGGATCATCTTGTTCAGGAGCACCGTGTGAGCCATGTGGCTATGCACCAGACAACATGGGCTTGCTAATGTGAAAATTTCCACTGAAGCAGCTGTTGCTACAAATTCAAACAGAATTTGACCCACTGCCTTATTTGTTATATAGGACCTCCCTTAAAAATACAGCACAGAAGTAGAAGTAAATATAGCTGAATGTACAGGAACTTAGCAATCAGATGGGAATGTTACAATATTTATTTCCTTCATTCAAAAAAAGAAACAATTTATAAATCAAAATTTTTCATAAGATGTATATATTTTAATTACAAAAATTGACTTTATTTTGGCTGATAAAAAATGCTCCATTTCAGTAAAATCTTAATGTTTTGTTCCTGTTTATTTTCATAGTATACAAAGTGTACAAGAACACACAAGAAAAGGTTTTGAAATAACAACTCAAAATGATCTGTTTCCAAAGAGTCCAAGTGGAACATTTCAAGTTAGCTGGAATAATCCATCCTAATTATTAAGTTTTTTTAAAATAAAGTTTCAACTAAAGAAACTTTCATTTCAGGAAATTTCATTTTTTTTAATGAACGAGTATTTTCCAATGGAATGAAAATAACTTCTCTGAAAAGATCCTCACCTATTTTCTCAAAACTAGATGGCTATCGTAGTTTTGCCTCAACCCTCGACCAGGAATCTTGGTTGCGGTCTCATAAACTGAGCAGAAACAGGACTGTTGTCCCTCAAATTCGATCGGTCCTTCTCTTCTCAAGCCCTTCAGCCTTGGTGTGATGAAGAAATACAGCTCAGTTAAATTAATATCACCTCAGATGAGCCTGCTGTGACTCTGAACCAGCAGTATATAAAGACTCTGCACTTCTCAGACACAGGAATACCAAACCTATGTGAAATTCCCTCCACTGGCACACACTTTTTAAGCAACCAGTTTAAGGGTATCAAGAGGAGCTTTCTACAAGGTTGATCCTGTTCGTTTGACTGGAATACTTCCTTGAAATACCTGAAATTAACAGTGCTAGGAAGGTCCTATGGAGAATGTGGTCTATGGCTGAGCATAAGTGCTAAGTTTGTGTTGCTGCTTTCAGGGATCGAGATGTTCGTATGTAAGTTATGAGGAAGGGGTCACTTTGGTTGTAGATGCGACTGTAAGTCTGATATTAACAACTGATCAAAGATTGCTCTGTCACTAATCGAGTTGTTACTTCAAACTAGGATCAGACCAATATTTAGTGCAAGAAGATGGTAATTCTACAATTTTGCATGATGTGGAGTAGCAGAGGCTGACAGAATGAGGGCAGCAGGTGAGACTGGATATCCTGCAAACTCTGAATAAGGGAAAGAGGAAAAATCTGATCTACATGTCAGGTTTAATGCACAAAACTGACTTAAGGATAAACTCAAGGACTATTAAAAGCTCCATATAGGCATCCAGCTCCAAAGCACAGGTCTTCAAAAGCCCACACTCGGCTTTCACCAAACTGGGCGGATGCAAAACTCTATGGACACGCTGGAGCCCAGCATGGGGCTCATGGGGCTGTACGTTCCCAGGAGGCAAACATTACGTAGTGAAGCCAGAGCCACTTTGCAGAGCTAGCTTAGACTATTCCAGGGCTTACGCTCTTAGTGCTATGCTGTAAGAGCTGCTTAGAAAAAAGGCATCAGAAGACTGGAAAGCCCATTTCTGGGTGCCCTAAGAGAGGTCGCTCCCAAAGAGATTGCAAAGGGCTTAAAATGAAAGGTTGCCAGGTAAATACACAGTCATTGCTCTTATCTAGTTAAGGTTACAGTCACCTTCATTTCCCACTATCAGTTTAACTTTCTAGTTGCCAACTGCCTTGTGCACCAGGGAGACCAGCTATGGGACCAGTGGCTGTAAAGACATCTCTGTTCCCTGCACTTTACTCCAGCAATTTCATGATTTCCAGGAATTAGAGACAGGAATGTGAATCAAAGAATTCAGCTTCATTGTACTCCCCCACAGGTCCCCACTGTTTGGACCATGTCTGTTCTTCTCTATCTTGGTAGTGCTAAACCCCTTCCTTTAAAATAAGTAATTATAGCTGCATTCCTCTCCTCCTGTGTCCCATCCAGGTAGTCACCTGCACAGCAAATGTTCTCAGCATACTCTTCCCCAGAATGCGGTACGGATTTTCCTACCTTTGGCATGAAGATAGGTTTGGGAAGTTTGTTTGCCTGTGTTTTAGCTTGTAGTAAATACAGATGAATGTGAACAGGAAAAACGTCCTGAGGGGCAGGAATTCCAAGTCAGAAACTTATGGACTCTTTTAAGCAATGTTGCAGAAAAACTTCAATACAGATGTCAAATTTCTTCAATCTGCCTTGATGAAGGTGGAGGAAGAAGAGGGGGGAGGCAGTCCAAACTATCACCGGCCTGTTAGGAATTTCTTTGTGAGGTCCACAAGCGATCACAGATTTTTGCTAATTCTTCTCATTTTGGCTAGCCACAAATTTTCCAAGGCTACTGTTTGTGGTCCCTTTTGAATGGTATCACCTTTTCACTTGAAAAAAAATCCCTTGAGGCAAAGCCCATAATGTGGCTAGTAGTTCCGCTTCTGGTTTCAGTGAACCTCTGGTGAACCTGACAAATCTCTGTCAGGAAAGTCGACAGTGAGGTTGAACCGTGAGAGAAATGTTCTTTAACTCAAACCTTTCCAGAGCTTCCAGGACCTGAAATTCTTGCAAACCAGCCGAGATGTGATAAATAGACACGTACAACACCCAGAACCCTGCCTGCTGCCTTGTGCTGTATCTGCCTCGATACAGCTATCGGCAGTACTGCCAGCCCATACCATTTTACAAATGTTTACTGTCCACCATCAGAAACTAATTATGACGCTGAACGTAAAGCAAAGAACCACAAAGAAGGATATGAAAACGATTTATCAATTAGGAGGCTAAAAATACAAGTGAATTTTCCGTATCTTCTGTTGCAACTACATTTTCAGGATTATACCGTTTGGATGCAAGCAGCAGACAATAAAAGCAAGAGAATGATACATTGTAAGTGGAAAGTCTGTTATCTTCTGACTGAAATGATGATGTCCCTTGACATAGGGGGCACGATATGGGCAGGGAGACAGACTCATGGCTGGTCTACTTTTGAATGCGGTGGAAAAGCTCCTACTTTTGAAGGAAAAAGACAAAAGGAAGGGCAAAATTTAAACATATTCTCCCCTCTCTGATTTAGAGTTGTACTCTGGTTCCACTTATGCTCTATTTTCTTTACAATTCCTTCAGCTGCAGTGTTCAGATAATGTTGAACACATTTCATGCATCACTAATAAAAATTTAAACATCAACTTACCCAAAATAAGAAGTTGAAGATGAACATGGAGTACTTCATGCAGCTGCTTACACCCGCCATTTTCAACAAGCTGAGACAAAAATGAGCACTGCAGAAGAAGCTTTCCTAAAGCAGGAAAAACAGGAACATAAAAATTGTTCCTGCGTCTTCAGAAAACCTCTCAAACCACGTCAAATACACTGTGCTCTGCTACTGAAAGCAAAAATTGTGACCAAGGCATCAATAGTTATTTAAATAGTTTCTATACCACAGGTAAATATTAACCAGAGCATTGGGAAATGCTACCAGTTGTTATCACTGAGTGTCCAGACTATTATTGCGTTTCTGTGATATGTACTTTTCTCCGGTCATGTTAGTCTTGTCCTACGCCTTGAAAGTAAATAGATAATGCAGCAAAAGCCATAATTTCAAGAGAAAGGGAAGTGAGCATTTTATAGACGTGCTTTTAAGAGGTAGAAATGATTGCGTTCCTTAATGCTTTAAAGTTACAGGGTTTATACTTTCATTGCCCACTGATCATTGCCAACATTCATTTGGTCATGTTCAGCCTCCCACTCCAGACATTCAACCGGTGTAAAGGGATGGGTCTGTGTTGTCGTGGTAGAGGAGGGGTAAGGAATATGTCACCATTTTCACCTCTTGGCATCTACTTCAGATCCTTTTCCTCTTCCTAAATAAATCAGGACCCTGGGAACCTGAGCACTGCAGTACATAAAATGTCCTGCTGTGCAGGTTTCCAAAAGTGTTGTGAACCCCAGCACAGCAGTCACAATTTTGGTGTCAGGTGCAGGATACCTCTCAGCAACAGGAGCTAAATTAGTCCCAGAAGGCAAGGCAATAAACCTATTTCATTATTTTTGTTTTATGTCTTGTTTGTTTTCTTTTGTGCTCCTTAAACCAGGAATCCTGAGGGGAAAATAAAGGTATCATTGCTCTGTTTTTTTCTATCAGCCCATTTTCTGGAGAAGCCCCGAATAGCAGTCCTTGGAGGGATGAGGGTCAGGCCCAGGTTCCTCCGAGTTCATCATAAAAAAAAAAAAGAAGCTTTATTTTGCAGGTGAGCACAAAAGATTTAAATGTGAGAGATTAAGGACATGCTGGACTGAACTGATTTATGAAGCCCCCTTGGCCCAAGTCCATTTTTCAGTCTTCACTGTCAGTTCTCATCCTTCAATTCTGCTGTCTGTATTTGGAAAAAAAAAAAAAAAAAAAAAAGGAAAGTGTTAGTATATAACACACCTGTAGATGGTGACAAAAAGATGTAGCTTAGAGCCTAGCTTTTGTAGAATTCACAAAAAAAGTCTACTCTACATTGAAAACAACTTCCTCTAGCTGCTCTCCAAACCAGCTTTGAAGGAAGGTGCATTGCTGTCATCTCCCCATTCACTTTCACAGATTATATCTAAACAGACACAACCATTCCCATTCTTATGAGTGTCTCTATACCTGCCTTTGACTTTCTGGGGTCCTTTCTGGAGTAATACTCTTTTTTTCTAACTCTAGGAGATAAACTGTCTGACTGGTTTATTTCACAATATCCAGCCTGAATCTGAAAATGTTCCTAAAAATAATTGTACTCATGAAATACAGATTTTGTAAGGATTGGGAGAAACAACTGTGTGGTATGGTTTAGATCTAAAGCACTCAACAAATAAGTAAGTTGAGAAATGTGGGTGTCTTTATGGAGGGATGCCATAGCCACAGATGAATCATGAGAAAAGTTTAAAGGGCCATATAAAATTGGATGAAAAGGGCCATGAAGGGTAATAAGAGAATCACAGATGACACAGGATTTGAAGAGATAATTCTGCAATCAGACCATGCAATTGCAGTAAACTAAGTTTATTATAAGCGGAGTTCAGAAAGAAAAATTTTGTACCAAAACCTACAGAGCTATAAATCTTCACGCACAGTAGATACTCATTAAAGAAGGCTTGAGATGTATCACTGTTATCTGTGAGATACTTAGCCCAGGCATTCAGAGATGTCTGAGGGAAACTGTGCTAGGGCAGTGATAATATAGGATGCAAGTGTGAGCATTAGCACACTTGGCCCTTCGAAAAAGGACGGTGTGCAAGGACCTTTCACGCGCAAGAGGTCTGCTCCCTCTTCGCCTCCCTGCTTTCCTTCACAGCACTCCTGGATTTGGGGCAGGTCGGGGTCTGCATCAGCTAGAGGTGTAAGACCAGCACAGCTGAGTTTCTCTTTAAGTCTAGGAAATTTAAACAACTGAAGATAGATACGATTTAGATCTCAAACTCATTTTCATTACAATTTTATACTTATGGCTGTGGACGTTGAAGAAATTTGCCAGAACTTCTGGGATTTTTTTTCTTTTTTATATATGTGTATTTAACATTAACCACAAGGAAGTTCTGGTAAGATCCCAGTTCTTCCTAAACCTTGAAGAATCTACCTGCATTTTATATGATTGCTGATCTCTTTGGAAAAGGCAAAAATAAACTTTCCTAGGACCTGATAGATGGTCCTTTTCTAAGATGGCAAGTAGAAAATAATGTCAAAGTTAAATACATTTCCAAGTGGGTTTCCAAATATGGCTCCTGAATAGAAACTCAGTATCTGAATTTACTGCAATTCCTACATGTTTCATATCTGTATTTAATGGTATCCAAAGTAAAAATATGTCATCTAAGATTAAAAGGAAACAAGCGGTTTCCATTCAGTGACAGATTTTCAGGTTAAATCTTCTGTATGAGTTGATGATTTCTTATTTCCTGGCTACACAGTGCTTTTTTATATGTCTTGGAGAAGGGGAAAGCCACAATTATGGCACAGATTACTCTTGCAGTTGTACCTACAAGTATGAAGGTCATGCAGATAATTGCAAAGGCTTATGAATGACAGCAATGGCATGAGAAATTTTGCCACTATTTGGCTGCATGTGAAATTGCTCCCATTACCAATCCACTAACTTTTTAGATGATCAGCTATGCCCTATGAATAACAAAGCCTGTGCCACGAACTGCTCAAAAGCTTTTCCCGGTACAGAAGTTGTAAAGCCCCATTGACTTACTGCCCCTCCTCACAGATTGGAAGAGGAGGATTATCAGTGCACATCCTGGGTGCAGCGCAGGGTGGGAGCCTCTGACGCAGCACACACAGCTCTCCACTGCGACAAGGGAGCTGTGACGACATGCTGACTTTGCCCGCTGTGTCATGCAAGAAACCAGAGAGGGAGAGGCGTATTTTGGCAGAAGAAAACGCCAGTACACCTGTAATGAACCTGGAGTAAAGTATCTCTCCTTTGACGCTTCCTAGCAGCCACAGATAGATTCGTAATGCTTATCCTAAAACAGGCGTGAAAACAGGCCAGGTGAACTGTGCCCTTAAACTGCCTGGTTTTTTCCACTGACCAAAAAGTGAGCCCAGAAAAATGAAGTTACATGCGATGGATCCCACCCAAAAGCCTCCCCAGTGGGGATCTCTGTCTCACAAGGGACCTTTTATGCTGTTATAGCACTCTGAAGGAAGAACATGTTTCTTTCCCTTTTAGGACCTTTTTTTTTTTTTTTTTTTTTCCTTTGTTAGTGATGTACGAAGTGCAAAAAAAAAAAGGAAATGAGGATCTGGCCTTAGCATTTAACACTGTGGGCACATCTGCATGGTTTTTGCCATGAGATGGCTTTTCCCCGACCCAGCCCAAAGGCGAGGAGCTGCCTCAGTACGGTGTGGGACCCAAAGCAGCAAGCCCAGTCTCTCAGAGGTGCTGATTTGTCACAGCTCAGTGGTGCACTGACCCCAGCACCACTGCAGTTCCAGTTCAGAGCAAGCTAGAGTCCACCCAGAAAACCATCCTGTGTGGTCCTTCAGTGCCGAACACTGCTGCTGACTTCTCTCCTTTCTTTTCCTCCATCCTCCTGCACCCTGAACTATTATGAGGATGAACAAAGTTGTGTCTCAGAGCAGGATCTGGTACCTCTCGGTTTCCCATGGGCTGAGTGAACTGGACTCCTTTTGGTGTCACACTGGGAACTGATTTCTTGCCTGCTAGGGCTTTTACTTTCACTTTGAATTAATAGGTGTTTGTAGCCATTAACAATGCAAACCCTTCTTTCATGATGACTAATTTCCTCTGCACTCCAGCCAATAAATGTAAACTCTTTATTTAAAAGATACAGCCCAACACATGAGTTGGTGAGCAACCCAGCTTGGAAGAGGCAGTGGCCTGACCATCAAAACAAACCTAGATGTCCCAGCCATGTCTGTACACTCAGGAGCAAGCAAAGCCTGCTGTGTCCCGTGCCAGTCCCAGCTCCGAGCTGGGTTTACCTGGTACTCTCCCCACTTCACAAGGCCTGAGAAAGGCACCATATATGTATAATATCCCTCATCCCAGAACAGGCACTCAGAGGGGGACTCTCCTGTGGCCCAGGTGAGTGTGTTGGCCATCGGGGTGCTGGTCAAGTGGTGCGTGATGCCCTCCCTCTGAGCACACTTTTCACGTTAGTGCTGGAAATCTTGTCCCCTGGGGAGGGAGTTTAAATGGGGATATGTCTTCACAAAAGGTTCCTGCTCTGACAAAAGAGTTTCATCAGAAAATCCCCAGCCAGCTCTGTGCTGGACTCCTATCCAGGCGCTCTGTGGCCTGATGCCAACATCACTCATATGTTCCTGCTTTAGCAAGGTCTAGTGTCTCAAACACTCTCACTTCCTCTAAAGCAACAACTCTTCCACCAGAAAACAATCCTCCTGCAGCAGGTCTGCCTGTGATCCGCTCTCCCTCCCAAAGGATGCAGCCTCCTCTTCCCGTACACCACTGTTTTTCTTCTAAGCTTTTCAACTGAAAAATCTCAGAAATACAAATCTTTAAGCTTTCATTGATATTTGGCTCATATTAAAATAAGAGAAGTCCTTAAGTATGATTGAACTCACATACCTAATCCACATATTTCTCTTTTCACCTTCCCTGCCTCCCCAGACCTTTCTGTTTACTGCTAGCCGCCTTGGCTGTTTTACATCCTTTTTACTCATTTATGTACTTCATGAACTAAGCTGTTCTTTTATGTAAGGCTTATGTCAGGGATTTCCTATTTCCCAGT